GCTGAACTGCGCACAGTGGCGAATAGCACATATGGCCCTCAGATACGGCGCTCAACTGCGCACAGTGGCGAATAGCACTAATAGCCCTCAGATACGACGCTCAATATGACTGTGTAATCAGCCTGGTGTGACTGCGCAAAATTTGAATCGGTACTGTTGCACAGGTGGTCTCAAAATCGGTTTGGTACTCGATGCGACTGCGCTAGCAGTCTCCAAATCAACTTGGTACTTGGTATGACTGCGCTAGCAGTATCAAAATCGGCTTGGTACTCGGTATGACTGCGCTAGCAGTCTCAAAATCGGCTTGATACTCAGCATGACTGCGCTAGCAGTCTCAAAATCGACTTGGTACTCGGTATGACTGCGCTAGCAGTCTCAAAATCGGCTTGGTACTCGGTATGACTGCGTAGTGTGAATGCGCAAACAACCTCAGAACACTTATCAGAATGCGCAATGTCACAGTCAAAATTCCCTGAGAATATACAGGGCTTACCTTATAAAAAATCGTAATTTGCAGTTTTGGGCGAGCAGTGTGACAATCTGAAAGCACACAGCTGCAGTCGCTTAAGACCTACTTATGATTTGCGCAATGTCGCACATAGATGCGCACAGTCGCGGGGAGCCTGGATGCTCAAGTCAGTCAGCATGCTTCAGTTACGGTCAATGTTCTTTTTCTGGTGCCTGCTATCATCTAAACACTTGGCTTGAATACTTCAGCTGCACTAATTTGAGTGCCTCCTTGGCACAATAAATCGACACACTCAGCTTGAGTGCCTCTCGACACAGCCAATCAGCCAAACGTGAACATATGGTATGGACGATCTCCAGACTCAGCACATCTGAGGGCACGACATTAATAACCCTTGAGTACAGTGATCACACATTGTCTTCAGCCTTTAAGTATGGTGCATAATGTGAATGCAGAGTAATTTCACCGGCGCTCAACAGATGACTAATTGACCAAGCGAAAGGCAGGGGAAGAAACAGGGGGAATGAGCAAAAAAGCGGAGTGATGAAGGTAGGAGAGAAGGTTGAGAGGAGAGCGGATGGACCTAGTGAGGGCCAGGCGGCTCTACTTTCCCCTTTCAACCCCTTCCTTTACCTCCTTGCCTGCCTCAAGCTCGCTCTCCCGGCCACTCCAGTGCAAGCAGCTTCAGTCCCTCCTTCTTGCCGTCCCGCCAGCGTCTCAGCATTCTTGCCAAAGAGCTCCTCTTGGTCTGTCTCAGCTCTCGTCTGAGCCACGTGTGTCACGCATGCTGATCTGTCTCGTTGGGTGACGTGGCCTCTCTTTTATAATGGAGAGGCCAAGGGATCGTGGCTGAGTGCTGCAGTCCTATGGTCGGGGCTGTGGTCAAACTCTAGACCAGGCCTGTGCTAAAAATAGCAGCAGTCCCAACGTCGGGATATGAACAGTCGGTCCTATTTTTAGAACGGGACTGGCGTAGGCCCAGTCCTGGGTAAATGAACAGTCAATCCCACGCTAAAAATAGCGTGGGGCTGTGTTATTTTTAGAACAAGACTGGTGCAGGCCCGACTTTGGGAAACGAAAAGTCAGTTTCGTGCTAAAAATAGCACATGACCCTATATAATTATTCGGGCCTGGCTGTTCATCAATATGGCTTACTTAGGGTTGTTCCTTTCTTGGCCAGGTTACGCGGTCGTGTCAGTCCGGTGCCAACCGGTCAATCTTAATTATCTCGCTAACCCTTGGCCTGTTTCAAGTGCCGTTTGGACCGGACCCCACTAATTGACCCATTGCGGTCGCGTCGGTCCAGTCCAACGAGGAAGATCAGGTCTCCAGGGGACCGTACCGTCGCGCCGTCTTTCCCTCGGTTTCGGCCCAGGGGAAATCTAACCGATGCGTTAGGGTCCATCTTGACCATGACTGCGGACGCAATTTTGACGCAGCGCGGGAGTTGACCGCGGCGAGTCAATTTCCGCTGCTGCGCCGCATCATCTTCCGACAGCGTGTGTGCAGGAAAGGCCGCAGAGGGGAGGGGAACAACAGGATCAACACACTCATACTCCTAAGAAAACGGTCGTCCAGTTCAGTTCCCCCGTCCCCGCCCGGAAAGTACATACACACATACATGCATGCAATCAACAACCCTTGACAGGACATCCAATCATCCATAGACCTTCGACATCACTCATGCGCACAACCAGCTCCCATCACTCGGGGCTTCACACACACGTCATGCATAGACAAAGCAGCAATGGAGATAAAAGCGAGTCCTTCTTGTACACAAAAATTCTCAAGTAACTGTCGCCCCCAGGCGCAGCCTTCAAAACCTCCCAAGACCACCGACCACTGTAGCCACAAGGCCCTGCCGCGGCCGGCGTCCAATCCCCACCACTGCTCAGTCCCTCTGACTGCTTCGCCCCGAGACTACCGCGGGTCCACCCCACGTCGTCACTCCGCCCGTCCTTGGGCTCGTAGAGCCTGTTCGGCGCCGCGGACTTTCGCGCATAGCTCGCGCAACATTGTTGCCGAGAAAAAAGAGAGAGAGAGGAGAGGGTTGCACAAATTTATAGCGCGGGAGGCGGCGGGTTGCCAGCGCGAGGTGCGGGCAGCGCAGGTTGTAGATGAGCAGGACAGGAGGAAGGTGGGGAGTTAGAGGGTTCGACCCGCGGGATGGCATGGTCCTACGTGATTGGGGTGTCCGTTCAAGTGGTGCGCAGTTTCCCGCTCTCCACATTGATCCGAGCATCCCAACTACGCGGCCAATCACTTCGCGGAGTAAGGATCGAGTTGGGCGGACGGGAAGACGAAGAGTCCTGCATGGGGGAAATGCGCGCAGCAAGAAGGGAAGATGACAGCGAGACGCGCGAAGAAGTCGGAGCTTAGGCGCGCGCGCATACAAATTCAAAAAGTCCCCACCGAAACCGTTTCTTGGTTTTCCTACCGCGGCCGCTATTCGCCCGCGCGGGAGATATTAACCAAACAAAATGAAAAAGCCGTTTAAAAAAGAAAACAAAAGCAAAAAAAAAAAAAAAAACCTTTCTGTCCGCATCCGTGCCTCGGGGCTTCCGGGGGATTTTTCCTCAAGGATACGGGAAGCCGTGGGTACGGGTCTGAGCTTATCACATCTGTGATACGCAGGGGGGTCCGAAAAATTAGCAGTCTCCCGACTGCTGAGGTCATCATGTCTTAGATGATCGGGCGGCCTCTTCATCGCCAGTTGGCCTGATCATCTTCCTAATCTACGTGGATGCGTCTTGCATCCTCCATCGCCTCCTCCCATAGTATACATCCGATCGGGCGGCCCCTTCATCGTCAGCTGACCCGATCGGTAAATTTATTTTTATTTTTTATTTTTTTATGCACAGCGCGTCTCGACGCGCAAACTTTGGGCATAGGGGAAGAAGATGATGAAGAGAAGGAGAAGGAGAGAAGCGGGGAGAGGTGGACGAGGGTGATCAGAGGAAGTGATCGATGTCAGGATTGAGAGGGGGCGGAATAGGTGGAAGAAAAGCGGCCATTGCCGCGGGAGTCGGCGCATCTTCCTCCTTGAAGTTGTGCTGGACGAACGAGGGATAGAGGAAGGACCCCGACACATGAGACAGGACACGTGGCGCCAGATCCGCCACCGCTCGCACCACCCGCTTGCGCACCGATCGGGGCCCTGGACCCGTCATCACCACATGAGTCTCGGTGTAAGGCCGCCGCTCCCGCTTCTGCGCCGCAAAGACAAGGAAGTGGTACATCACATTGGGACGCTGCCCGGTTTCGTAGATGAGCGTCCTAGCCAGTCGCGCCGCAATACACCCTTGAAAAGGGGGTGTCAGATATGGCTCCCACGCCGGATCAGGGCGCGGCGCCCCCGCGATGGCCTCGAGCCTGATGGTGGTGGGCTCCACCATGAAATCCACCTCTGTCGGATGGACCGTCCGGCTCGGAGGAACTGCTAATGTCAATGATCGGGGCACCCCGGGGTGGCTGGCGGGAGCGGAGAGGTCCCGCGAGGACGGGGGGTCTAGATATGGGATCCGGTATTCCCATTCGGCTTCCTCCCCCAGCTGCTGCTGCTGCTGATGGCCCGGCTCCATCAAGATTGAGATCGGGCACGCGCGGGAAGGGCGGCGATGGCATGACAGTCGCCTTAACGAGCGTCGCGGCACTCCCAGGCGCGGGGTCAAGATTCCGCGTACGCGCGGGCTGAATCACCTCCTCGTCGCCACCGATTCTGCGTCCTTGCGCTCCTGGCGACGGGTGGCGTCTCTTCCTCTTCGGCGTTGTCGAGCGCATCGGTCCGGCACCGCACGAAGCAGCGTGGGACCCTCCCGGCCGTGTCACGCAGGAACAGAACCACCTAACCATGAACACAATCCAACGGAGCTTCCTATAGGCCGCTCCGGCCGGGTGCGCCAGCCATACCTCTCGCGAGCCCCTACGACAGGATAGGGCCTACGCGAGGCACAACTTACCTCCACCATTCGGGAGCTGTCACCTCCCTGCGGTGGGCGTATCCCCGCTGAGCTACCAGTCCACAATACGAAAGTTACTCTGTTGCAATCGCAGAGGTGGACCAGCCGAGGGCGTTTCTCGTTCGATGTAGCATAGGGGGTACGCGCGGTATTACGCCTTTGTCGAACCCGCGCGTGAGTCGTCTTCTTGGGGTGGCTGAAGTCCCAAGCGCGACCCGTCGGCGGTCGACTAGGACGTACTCTACACTCGCACGTACACCACATAACAACAAAACAAAACATAACACACGCTTACAAACGTACCCACTCGAACGAAACGACACAAACGAACAAACCACTCTATCCTAGTCCCGTGAGTAACTAACCCATAACTTTCCGACGTGAACTCGGATAAGCGTCGCACGCGAGATTCTAATATAAACCTGCGCGGTCGCAGGGCCTCCCCATATCGACTGGCACTATCTGAAGATGCAAACAGTCACAGTAATATCCTCACGATATTGAATGGCTGAAGGAAAATATATCGTGGGGTCTTACCCCTCACGATACTGAACGGCTGAAGGACGCGTCGTTCAGCCTCCGCGACTTCTCTGTGCCTTTGCCAGGATGTCGTGGTAGGCGATCCATCAAGGCTCCACTTGAAAGGAAATCCCCCCATGTCCTGGACAAGGACCTGGAACGCGGGTTCAGGACTAAAGTCCGACTAAGAACTTCAAAAAGCAAAAGAAAAGTAGTGGGGCGCTCGTCCCTTAGTTGCGTCCCCAACTACCCTCTACGTGCAGGCCCAAGCGAACATGCCTATATTTTGTCCATACATAAGGGTATATAAGCAATACATAGACATATAGAGGCTTAAATTTGTGGGTCGATCACTTCTCACAATCACGACAAGGCTCCCTCCAATCGTATATGTGTGAAACGCAGGCAGCCAGAATACAAATCTGATCCAGGAAACATACATGCATTCACATCAAAGTTCAACAGAGAGAATAGAGCCCACACACTACACGGGGTCAACTTCAATCACTTCGCTGTACTCACACCCCATGCTTTAGCCATGCAAACCCCAACCTCCGTCCAACCTCCGTAAATAAACACTTCGTGCTTCCTTTACATGGCCATTCAATAAAAGCCCGGGTGAAAACCTTAATGAAACAACGAAAACCACCGGCCAAAGCTCTTTTAGGTTGAGCAAGGGAAGAGGGATGGAGTTGAGTCGTAGACCGACGAATCGGTAACGGACCTGTTATCAAGGATAACAGAAGACGATCCTTGTAGGATCGAGCTGACACTGACCCAAGTTCCGGATCAAATCGACCAAAGAGTAAACCTGTATCACAAGACAAGTCAATATTTCAGCTAATCATGTAAGCGTATGGAGGGTAACCTCCATATCTCATCTGCACCTGAATTCTACAGATGTTAGGCCTGAACTTACCCCTGTACAAGTACCCAGAGTAAAACCTAGATCTTTAGGTACACCTCTCCTATAAGTGATTGCCTAAGGGTCGCCACCTGTCGACTTATAGTCTAACTCCTCTAAAAACAAGAAAATTTCGGCAACGCTTCCTGTTGGAAAACTGTCTTCCCATAATTTATACGAGCTCAAATATAGACACTAAGATAAATCTCAACTTTCAAAAGTCAATGTTTGTCTAAGTCCCTGAACTAGCAAAAATTTGGGCAGCACTTC